TTTTTTTTTTTTTTTTTGTAAAGGCACTGGGCACCAAAGGTGCTACTCACACAGAATATCAACTTGAAACTCACCCTGGAAAGACAAGATTTTCGTAGTTCTAATCAGAAACATTGTAATTTTGTTATGTTCATGTTACGGTATTGAAGGTGGTTTTTTTGTTTTTGTTTTTTTAAATATGTGAATAAAGGGGCCGGGTGTGGAAGGCCGAAATGGGAGGGTCACTTGAGACCAGGAGTTTAAGACCAGCCTGGTGAACACTGAGACCCCCATCTCTATTTAAGAAAAAAATAAAAAATAAACAGTATGTTGGATATTAGTTCGTTCTCATGTTACTATAAAGAATTGCCCGAGACTGGATAATTTATAAAGGAAAGAGGTTTAATTCACTCACAGTTCTGCATGGCTGGGGAGGCCTCAGGAAACTTAAAATCACGGCAGAAAGGGAAGCAAACATCCGTGCTCACCATGGCGGCAGGACAGAGAGGTGCAATGCGAAGCGGGGAAAAGCCCCTTTATAAAGTCATCAGATCTCGCGAGAACGCACTATCACGAGACCAGCATGGGTGAACGCCCCAATGATCTAATCACAGCCCATGAGGTTCCCCCCCTCAACGTGTGGGGATTACATTTAGGATTACATTTCAAGATGAGATTTTGGGCAGGAACACAGCCAAACCGTATCATGTGGGTAAAAATTCCTTTAGTAAAGTTGTAACATTGTCTGATGGAAAAGGGGATTTGTTTTCATTTTGGTTAGAACAGAAGTAGTAAAGAAATCACGTATCCATATATACGGTAATTGTAGTTTTAGGACCAGTTGTAAAGTTAGTGCAGATAAAGTGGGAACATTAGAAGGAGAGTTGGAACCAAGAGGTACCTGGAAAATCTACTCAAAACTCTCACTGGATTTAAGTATATTCCTATTTTGAAAATTCAGTAGATATGTTCTCTAAGAACATCAGAACCTCAGTATCAGTTTAGGGCAAGATGGAGGATGGAAGAATGAAAGAGGGGATATAAAGAAGTTTTATTAGGTTGGGCATGGTGGCTCATGCCTGTTACCCCAACATTTTGGGAGGCCAAAGTATGAGATCACTTGAGCCCAGGAATTTGAGACCAGTCTGGGCAACATAGGGGAGACCCTGTTTGTACCGACAGTTAAAAAAAAAAATAGCCACATGCACCTGTGTTGCCAGCTAATCAGGAAGCTGAGGTGAGAGGATAGCTTGAGCTCAGGGCTGCAGTGAGCTATATGACTGCACCACTGCACTCCAGCCTGTGTAACCCCAGGCGGAGAGAAGTGAGACTCCATTAAAAGAAGGAAAAGAAAAGAAAAAGGAAAAGAGAGAAGGAATAAATTTTATTGTTATTTTAAGAAAATTTGGCTTTGGCTTTTTTTTGTTTTTTGAGACGCAGTTTTGCTCTCGTTGCCCAGGCTGGAGCGCAATGGCATGATCTCGGCTCACCACAACCTCCACCTCCTGGGTTCAAGTGATTCTGCTGCCTCAGCCTCCCGAGTAGCTGGGATTACAGGCATGCGCCACCACGCCTGGCTAATTTTGTATTTTTAATAGAGGTGTGGTTTCTCCATATTGGTCAGGCTGGTCTCAAACTCCCAACCTCAGGTGATCTGCCCAAAGAAAGAGTTAAGAGCTTGGACCAGGTGTGATGGCTCATGCTTGCAATCCCAGCACTTTGGGAGTCCAAGGCAGGTGGATCATCTGAGGTCAGGAGTTCAAGACCAGCCTGGCCAGCATGCTGAAACCCCATCTCTACTAAATACAAAAAATTAGCTGGCTGTGGTGGCAGGTGCCTGTAATCCCAGCTACTCGGGAGGCTGAGGCAGGAGAATCACTTGAACCCGGGAGTTGGAGGTTGCAGTGAGCCGAGATCATGCCACTGCACTCCAGCCTGGGCAACAAGAGTGAAACTCCATATGAAAAAAGCTCTCAGCTGGGTGCGGTGACTCACACCTGTAATCCTAGCACTTTGGGAGGCTGAGGCCAGGAGTTAAATATTTTGACTCCCACTCCAGATCATCAAATTGTTTTGAGAGTAAATGAGTTGAAGCACGCATACTGCCTAGTTAGACCAGTGTCTGAGATAAATACAATACAGAGTTTGCTATTATAATTTAGAATTTTTATTGAGTATACTCTGCTGTCTATGCACAGTTGGCTCAGGAAATGAATTGGGAAGCTTTTCTGTTTCATAGGATAGTTTAATAAAAGAATTGAAATTACTCTTTACTTACTATGAAAATGTCTGAGACTGGTATTTGGAGTGGGTGGGGAGCTAACTGTGTAACTCATGCGAATGTTCAGAAGTTATTGAAGTATTTTCTAATTCTGTTAGATGCTTTTGACAATTTATATTTTCCTAGAAAATCATCCATTGTATCTATGTTTAAAATTTAGCAGCTTAGGATTTACTGCAAATGTATTTTATGCTTATTTTGATTTCTTCTCTATTATCTTACTTCCTTTTCAGTCCCTCATTTCATATAATTGTCATTTTAGTCCAGCTAATAGTTTATCTGTTTTATTTTCCCCTCCCATCAAAATATAGCGCCTAGGTTTTTTTTTTTTTTGAGATGGAGTCTCACTCTGTCACCCAGGCTGGAGTTCAGTGGTGCGATCTCAGCTCACTGCAACCTCCGCCTCCCAGGTTCAAGCGATTCTCCTGCCTCAGCCTCCCGAGTAGCTGGGATTACAGCCACGTGCCAGCATGCCTGGCTAATTTTTTGTATTTATAGTAGAGATGGGGTTTCACCGTGTTAGCCAGGATGGTCTTGATCTCCTGACCTCGTGATCTGACCGCCTCGGCCTCCCAGAGTGCTGGGATTACAGGCATGAGCCACTGTGCCTGGCCGCTCCTAGGTTTTAGAATTAATTCTGCAGGCTTCTGTTCTCTTACTTGAGTAACTTTGAATTCCCTTTATCTGATTTTTAAACGTTTATTTTTTAACCTTGAGTTGAATGCTCATTTAATTCTTGCTCGGTTGAAGGTGTTTAGGCTGTGGCTCTTCCTCTGAGTATAACTTTATTAGTGTACCAAAGGTTTTTTCTCTTTCTTTCTTTCTTTCTTTTTTTTTTTGAGACGGAGTTTCATTCTTGTTGCCCAGGCTGGAGTGCAATGGCGTGATCTCGGCTCACTGCAACCTCCACTTCCCGGGTTCCAACGACTCTCCTGCCTCAGCCTCCCGAGTAGCTGGGATTACAGGAGTGCGCCACCACGCCCGGCTAATTTTGTATTTTTAGTAGAGTCAGGGTTTCACTATGTTGACCAGGCTGGTTTCGAACCCCTGACATCAGGTGATCCACCTGTCTCAACCTCCCAAAGTGCTGAGATTACAGACGTGAGCCACTGCGCCCACTTTCTTTTTCCTTTTCTTTCTTTCTTTCTTTCTTTTTTTTTTTGAGACAATGTCTCCTGCTGTTACACAGATTAGAGTATAGTGGTGTGAACACAACTGATTAGAGTCTTGACCTCCTGGGCTCAAGGGATCCTCCCACCTTAACCTTTCAAGTACCTAGGACTACAGGCATGCGCCAGGATGCCCCCCTAACTTTTTTTTATTGTTTGTAGAGACAGGGTTTTGCCATATTGCCCAGGCTGGTCTTGAACTCCTGAGCTCAAGCAGTCTGCCTGCCTCAGCCTCCCAAAGTGCTGAGATTACAGGCATGAGCCACTGGGCCCAGTCGTACCAGAGATTTTTATATGGGCAGTTTTTATCATTATTATTTTCTAGGTAATCTCTATTGATTTTGGTTTACATTACTCCATTCAATTACTTGAAGTAATTTAAGGAGAGACAGTACATAACTGTCAAGTCTACTGCATTAAGGGGAGTAACTTCATTGTTTCATTCTCAGATTGTGGTATAGACTATTTCTGCTTTCTTGAAATGTTTGAGGTGTTAATGGCCTAAATAGATGATCAGTTTTTATAACTGTTGCATAGAGACTTGATCTCATTCTTTCATATGTTCAGCCATTTTGTCGTTTATGTATTTGATCTTTCAGGAAATGGTAATCCTCTTATATTCTTCTGCCTAAAGGTTTTTCTTATATTTCTTTAAAATTTTTGTTCTGGCCGGGCGCGGTGGCTCACATGTAATCCCAGCCTGGCCAAAATGGTGAAACGTCGCCTCTACTAAAAATACAGAAATTAGCTGGGTGTGGTGGTGCATGCCTGTAATCCCAGCTACTCTGGAGGCTGAGGCAGGAGAATCCCTTGAACCCGGGAGGCGGAGGTTGCAGTGAGCCTCGCACCATTGTACTCCAGCCTGGGCGACCGAGCAAGACCCCGTCTCAAAAAAAAAAAAGAAAAAGTTTTTGTTCTAACTATGTATTATGAAGATTTTGGTGTATATAGTTTTATAACATATCTTTATAGATTGTAATCTTGATCGTTATAAGAAATGACCCTTTTCTGCCTCCTTTAATTTTTCAGTTTGAATTCAACTGGTTTTAAAAGGGTGTTTATACTTGCTAGATATACTTTTATCTAACCTTTTACTTTTAACTTATCAAAGTCTCTATTTTAGGTTTGTGTCTTGTAGACCCTTGTAGTTGGATCAAGGTTAGTCTTGACTCAATTTGAGATGCTTTTAATCATTTACATTAATGTTGCATATTTTGCTTTGCTTATATAATATTAGTGTATTTGTTTTGTTGTCATCTATAGTTCGCTTTTGGTTTTCTTTCTTTTCTTTTCTTTTCTTTTTTTTTGAGGCAGAGTCTAGCTCTGTTGCCCAGGCTGGAGTGCAGTGGCGTGATCTCGGGCTCACTGTAACCTCCGTCTCCTGGGTTCAAGTGATTCTCCTGCCTCAGCCTCCCGAGTAGCTGAGACTACAGGTGCCTACCACCATGCCCAGCTAATTTTTTGTATTTTTAGTAGAGACTGGGTTTCATCGTGTTGGCCAGGCTGGTCTTGAACTTCTGACCTCAAGTGATCCGCCCGCCTCGGCCTTCCAAAGTGCTGGGATTACAGGGGTGAGCTACAGCCTCTGGCCTGGTTTTCTTCTTTTAAACTACATGGTTTTCTTTATTTGCTTTCACTTCTCTTATATACTGTATTTCGTTATGTCTCAGATACCATTGGTGGTTGTGTGCTTCGTTATTTTGTGTACCATTAATACAGTTAAATGCTGTCAAAGAAAGTATGACATTCCATTGATTGAAATACGCATGCTGATTTCAGATAGACAAATGTGAAAAAGGTACATCCTAGAATAAACATGGTAGTTTGTAGTTCTGTGGGTATTATAAAGCTATAGCTTTAATATATTTAAATCTATTGTGTTTATCAAATAGTTTTTTCAGGAGTGGTTGAGTGCTCTTATGTTTAAAAATGTCTGTTAGTGGCTTTCACAAGCAAAATGATGTTTTGGCTGGTTACAGAATTTTTGGGCTACATTTCCCTTTCCCTTAATACCCAGCAGACACTGTTCCATTATCTTCTGGCATCTAGGGTTACTCTAGAAAAGTCTGGGCCAGCCTGACTGTTTTTTTCCCTTTGTAGGTGACCTACTTCTGCCTGAGTATTGCTAGAATTCTTTCTTTATCCTTGAAGTTCAGTAACTTCATCAGGATATAACTCGGTCTTGGTGTGATTCTCTATTACATTTTCCTGTTAAATGGTAAGCCATTCAAACTGCAGATTCAGGAATATTTTCTTATATACCTTTTAATATGATTCATTTTTATTTTTCTTTACTGAAGAAACATCAGTTTTACGATAGTTTGTCTTCATTTCCTGTCTTCCATTTCATTAGTTTTCTAAATGCTTCCTTTGTTCTTTTCTGCTTTGCTCGATGTAATTTTCTTGAGATTTTGTTTGATACCATGTTTGTTTTCATCAGTATCAGGTTGACTACTTCCTATATGTGATGTGGTTTTCATTTTGCCAGTGGCTTCAGTACTTCATTCAATTTTATATATTTATGTCTGTGAGTTGTTCTTTCAACTTGTCTCATTTATTTCCCTCTTTTTAAAAAAGCTTTTACTTAACAGTGAAACAGGTAAAACCACCTGTCATCCCAGCACTTTGGGATGCTGAGGCAGGTGGATCACTTGAGGTCAGGAGTTCGAGACCAGCCTGGCCAACATGGTGAAACCCGTCTCTACTAAAAATACAAAAATTAGCCGGGCGTGGTGGTGGGCGCCTGTAATCCTAGCTACTCGGGAGGCTGAGGCAGGAGAATCGTTTGAACTGGGGAGGCAGAAGTTTCCGTGAGCTGAGATTGTGCCACTGCACTCCAGCTTGGGCGACAGAGACTCCCTCTCAAAAACAAACAAACAGGTAAAACCACATTGTTTTTGAGCAGATGGGTTAAAACCAGTTACACAGTGGCTGATATTAAAATTTACTCTCTAAGAAGTGATGAGTAAAATGATTTTATCAAGTCTTGAGTTTTATTAATGGCATGAAATATAGAAAGGCCATTATTTGCAGGCTTAGATATACTGTTTTTTGCAGTTGGATAAACTTTTGTACACAGTAGAAATCTGATTTTGCTATGTGTTTTTGTTTATGAGGGAGAAGTGTTCAATGACTTTTTCCCCTGTCATTGAAAATCTATTGAAGATTTTTTTTTCATTCAGTGAGTTACAAAATATACTAGAAAAATATAATGGAAATGTGCCTTGCATAGTGGCTTATGCCTGTAATCCCAGCACTTTAGAAGGCCAAGGCAGGTGGATGGCTTGAGCCTAGGAGCCTAGGCTACAGTGAGCCATGATCATGCCATTGTACTCCAGCCTGGGCAACAGAGTGAGACCCTGTCCATTCATGTGCCACAATTCAAGACCTGCTATGTGATTTTCTCGTGAATGCCAGTCACCTCTTTGTTTTATTCTGAAGAAATGAAGGTGATCAGTGATAAGCCCCCTGGTCTTCATTCAGGGCTGAAGGGAATAGTGAAAATTGTGAACGTGTGCAACTTGTGGTTACTAAGTGAGACTTTCACTGCGATTTATGCAAAAGGTGTAAGTCTTTTAATTTTTTTTTTTTGAAACAGAGTCTCTGTCACCCAGGCTGGAGTGCAGTGGCACGATCTCAGCTCACTGCAACCTCTGCCTCCTGGGTTCAAGAGATTCTCCTGCCTCTGCTTCCCGAGTAGTTGGGACCACAGGCGCGTGCCACCACACTTGGCTAATTTTTAGTATTTTTAGTAGAGACAAGGTTTCACTGTGTTAGCCAGGATGGTCTCGATCTCCTGACCCCGTGATCCGCCTGCCTCAGCCTCCCAAAGTGCTGGGATTACAGGTGTGAGCCATCACACCTGGCCAGCACCCAGCTGATTTTTGTATTTTTAGTAGAGATAGGGTTTCACCATGTTGGCCAGGCTGGTCTCGAACTTGTGAGATCAGGTGATCTGCCTGCCTCGGCCTCCCAAAGTGCTGGGATTACAGACATGAGCCACTGCGCCCAGCCCGTCTTTTACATTTTAAATAGTTTAGCTGTTTAGAGAACAGGTTCTCCCGTAAGTTTTTTTCTTCTCTTCCTTTTTTTGAAATGATGGCTGAGATACAAACATTCTTTACATTACTTTTGATGTTAACAAAGGTTATTTCAGTAGACTTGCACATTTAGAGTATGCCAGCAACTTACTCAATATTGCGATAGGTGGAATTTACGGTCTAGCGTCTGAATTGTAGCTTATCCTCAACCATCAAAATTGTTATCCAAATTTCTTGTGTTCCAAACTTAAGGATTGTTGTGTTTCACTGCCAGTGACATGGTGTTTTCCTAAAGTGATACATATTTTTAAGTAATTCATTTATTGGGCAAATATTTACTGCCAGAGACTGTCACAGGTCCTGGGGCTATATCAGTAAATAAACGAAAACCCTTGTTCTTATAGAACTTGCATTGTGGTCAGGGTAGGAGAGAGAAGAATTAATAGAAAGTGTAGAGTGCTGTGTGGAAACTAGAACAGGCAAAGAGGATAAAATAAGGAGTGTGTGAGGGGGTGGGGTTTCATTAAAAATAGGGTGACAGTGGACCGAGGAACTCAGGTAAAGGAGTGAATCATGTAGAGGTTAGGTACAGCAAGCACAAAGGCCCTGAAAGGGGGCTGACCTGGATGCTGGAGGGAGGTGGCAGAGCAGTTAGCTGAAGGTTGGAGAGAGATGCTGGTTAATTCTGAAGAACCCTATAGGCCACCATACAGGCCACTGCTCTGAGTGAGAATGGGAAGCCGTTGGTATAGTGACATGACGTGACTCACGTTTTTCCAGGGTTACTTCTGCCTGCTGGGTTGAGAGTAGATACAATAGGGAAGGTATTTTCCATAGTACCCCAGCACACGTATTTTATTAAACATTTATAGCTGAAATGAAAGCTTCACCAACAATATCCCTATTTTATTTTTCATTTCCGTTAGGAAAAATAGGTGCTGGTTATGTCCCACTAGATCTGTTTCATGACTGTGTGACTTAAGGTTGAAAAATACTGCCAGATAGGATATAGCCTCTGACTTAGTGGACAAGAAGTAAAATTGAGGTTTGTGTATGAAAGCAAAGTGAACACAATGTAAAATAAAAAAAGAATAAAAACTTAAAAATCAACATTATCTATATATGTGTATATACTTAGCTTTAAAAAACCCAAATAATCAAATAGCAGTGATTCTAGAGGCCTAACAGTGAACAATGCATTCAGTGAAGGATAATGAAGAATTCCCCAGAGGCAATTGCTTTTAAAACCTTTCAGGTTCAAATCTCCTGGGGGCTTAACTCCATGCTTCTAAATAATATATTTATAGTGTTTATTTTTTGGTTTATCAACTTTAGACATTCTCTGTTGACTTCTTGCTATGACAGATGTTTTCAGTCCCACTTCTCACTACTGACCTTCCTCGTACGACGGTCACTGAACTGGCGCCTCTCTGGGGTTCTGCCCAGAAGATTAGCCTTCCTCCTTCGCTGCAGCTCCTCTGTGAGTATTCTGCTCTCTGCTCCCTCCACTCTGCTTACTCAGTTCACGTTCTTCCATCGTTTTCATCTTTCAGAGCCATGGGCAATCCACCTGGTCTTTTTAATAAATATTTTAAATTAAAAAGTTACTTTTAAATTTCTTTAGAAAAATTTATTTAACTTCTTAGGAGGGAGAGGAGATGAGCACATGTGCCCACACTGACACCTTTAAACTAGAAGACAAGATTCGGCTAAAGCTTTTTGTTGTCAAAAGTGTGTAGTGTATGTGTTTTAAGAGTTAGATATATTTAGAATATCTTATCTTTTAAAAAATTGTGAATATTTCCCCATGTCCTGAAATGCTCTTTTAAAGTGTTTTAAACAGATGCAGAGCATTCTTTCCTATGCTGGTACTCTCATATTCCCCACATCTTGACTTCTGGGTTTTCAAATTATAATTGTAAACCACTTAAATTATAACTAATGCTTCTGTGGATTTTCCTTATGAAAACATTTATACATAATCCTTGATTATTTCTCTTCAGATAAATTTCTGTTCATTTCTTAGTCAAGGAAAATAAATATTTTTGAGGTTCTTCATAAATATTACTGATTGCTTTCTAGAAAGGCTTTGCTAATTTGTATTTCCACTATTAACTGTATCAAAGTGCCACTTTTTATTGTGTTCTTCATACCACCAGGAACTTTAAAAAAATGTTTGATTCTGCCAGGTAAAAAGAATTATTTTAAAAATTCCCAAGAAAGGTGAATACCTTGACAGTTTTGAATTTGTGTCTCTGTGTGTGCGTGTGTGTGTGTGTGTGTGAAAGGTTTATGTGAGCAATTATTTGCCTTTTAATTTTTCATGACTATTTTGGCAATTAGAAATTTTTTTTTTTGGAGGCAGGGCACAGTGGCTCATCATGCCTGTAATCCTAGCACTTTGAGAGGCCAAGGTGGGTAGATCTCTTGAGGTCAGGAGTTTGAAACCAGTCTGGCCAACATGGTGAAACCCTGTCTCGAATGAATGAATGAATGAATGGTATTTATTTTTTTGAGATGGATTTTCACTCTTGTTGTCCAGGCTGGAGTGCAATGGTGCCATCTTGGCTCACCGCAACCTCTGCCTCCCAGGTTCAAGCAATTCTCCTGCCTCAGCCTCCCAAGTAGCTGGGATTACAGGCTTGTGCCACCACACCCGGCTAATTTTTGTGTTTTCAGTAGAGACCGTGTTTCACCACATTGGCCAGGCTGGTCTCGAACTCCTGACCTCAGGTGATCCTCGCACCTCGGCCTCCCAAAGTGCTGGGATTACAGGCGTGAGCCACTGCGTCTGGCCGAAATTTTATTTTTTTAAATCATCCAATTAAATAGGCTTTCCATTTATTTTTTTGACACTTAGACTAATGTTTCCCATTCCTAAAATCAAGTAAGACTGTGAAAAATTTGAAGATAGCTTTGAATTTGGAGTGGGGTATGGAAAAATGCCTGGGAGAAACTTGGCAACAGTTGATCTAGAAACAGTTGGGCTTTGGCTTGTGTTAGAAATCTGCTGTCATTTAGATTTTTGATTGTTGCTGTCTTCATGTTTCCTGTTGCCTCATACTGTAGAAGGTGTTAAATTGTTAGACACTTCCATGAGTGTACTTCATACATGTAAAACGTTGTAGACTCATGAGACGTAACTCATTGCTCTGGGTAGTCTAGCTAAACTAGTCTTTCCACTTAGAGAGCATGATACTTAAGCGTTCTCCCAGTGAGTCATGAATTGTCATCAGGGAATTGCTCAATATTTGGCTTAATTCCATTAGGAATTGCTACTGGTGATAGTTTAGTCCTTATTTAGTTTTAGTCTAAGAGAACGTTACTGACATTACTATAAATCTTAAGGGAAAAAAAGCATACCTTTAAACAAGCCTAATGGCAATGGACTAGTCAGGATAGTAAGAAAAAGTTATACTGGGAAGAGAGAGATGGTTTATGAATTGGTTACAAAAGATACTTCAGTATTATTTTGAAGACAACCCTGATTTCAGTCGTGGTTGAAATCCTTAATCAACCACAAAAATGTCTTACATTTTAAATATATTAAAGTCCTTAAATTATGGAAATAGTATCTTCTAAGAAGTTGATTAATAGTAGAAAGAAGAGTCTCAGTCTTTTTTTTTTTTTGAGACGGAGTCTCATTCGCCCAGGCTGGAGTGCAGTGGTACCATCTGAGCTCACTACAACCTCTACCTCCCAGGGTCAAGCAATCCATCTACCTCAGCCTCCCTATTAATTGAGACCACAGGCACATGCCATCATGCCCAGCTAATTTTTTTTTTTTTTGAGACGGAATCTCGCTCTGTCACCCAGGCTAGAGTGCAGTGGTGTGATCACAACTCACTGCAACCTCCGCCTCCCATGTTCAAGCGACTCTCCTGCCTCAGCCTCCCGAGTAGCTGAGACCACAGGCACCCACCACCACACCCAGCTAATTTTTGTATTTTTAGTAGAGATGGGGGGGTTTGTTTCACCATGTTGGCCAGGCTGGTCTCGAACTCCTGACCTCAGGTGCTCCACTCACCTCAGCCTCCCAAAGTGCTGGGATTACAGGCGTGAGCCACTGCACCCAGCCCCGGCTAATTTTTTTTGAAAAGTTTTTTGTAGAGACTGGGTTTAGCCATGTTGCCGAGACTGGTCTTAAATTCCCAGGCTCAAGTGATCCACTTGATTCGAACTCCTGGGCTCAGAACTGGTCCCAGACTGGTCTCGAACTCTTGGGTTAAAGCGATCCACTCAACTCAGCCTCTCAAAGTGCGGGGATTACAGGTGTGAGCTGGTGTGCCCAGCCTCAGTCTCATTTCACCTGAATACAATAATGTATGGTTTTGGTATATTTTTTTCCTACCTCCGCCTCCCGGGTTCGAGCAATTCTCCTGCCTCAGCCTCCAGAGTAGCTGGGACTACAGGCACACGCCACCACGCCTGATTAATTTTTTGTATTTTTGTAGAGACGGGGTTTCACCATGTTGCCCAGGCTGGTCTTGAACTCCTGAGCTCAGGCAATCCACCTGCCTCCGCCTCCATAAGTGCTGAGATTACAGGCATGAGCCACCACACCAGGCTGCCATTGTCATTTTTTAATGCAGCACAGAAGCCCATCAAGTGGTAGTCACATAATTTCCTAATTTAATTTTGAAAAAATTTTAGGTGAATTCCAATTTTCTATGTGCTTAGTAGGTTTCTTTTATAAGTTTGAATAAATGTATAAATAATTTCAGGGTTATTTTATGGGTTCTTGGTATGTCATGCAGATAAATTGTTGTAAATGGAATAAGATACAGAGGAATGCAAAAGAAGCTAAGAAGCAAGCGTGACAGCATCCTCTTACTTTATTGCGTTCTCTGCAGTGGTCAGGGTATAGGGCAATGAATTCAGATCAGAATCATAGACTTTATTGTATCTCTTGTTAGCCAAAATATTTAAGTTATCTGACATTTACTAGGTCTATTAAATCACCCAAGGGAAGAACTTTTTTTTGTATGCATAGGTAGTAAAGGGCTTTTGCAAAAAATCCAATATGTTGATATTTTAGACATCATAAAATAATATACACCGTGTACATTTACTTTAAAAATTAACTTGTGAAAAGCATTTCTCATTTTGTTCACTTAATTTTTAAAGAGAGCCAGACTAGTTTATCTTAATATATGGGTTCTCTGCTGGGAGAACCAGATTAACCATCATTCTAGTCAAGGCTTAAGTTTCCATTCTGTAAAATAATGACTTGCAACTTGGTGGAATTTGATATTCTTTCCAAAACTAAGAAGTTCGGAGTTATTTCTACTATCTGTTTCTTTAACAGTGAGACTGAGCATATCGGCCTACTTGCACTGCACATGGGCCAAAATGGGCCTGTCATAGGAGAAACTCTACAGAAAGGAAAGGAGAAAGGGTTCCTGCAGAAGGAAGAGGAGGGCAGATTTGTTCTCAGAGGTCAGTTATATTAAGGCAAGGATGGCAGATGTCTCATCATGGATTTATTTGGCGGGTGTGGCTGCTGAGTACTGTATTGGGAGGAATCTTAAGTACATGGTAGATTATTAATGGTGCCTTCTTTGGGTGTGGGCCGCATCGAAGGCTTGAGGGTGATTCAGAGTAATGACACAGTCCATCTGTATTTTAGGATCTGCCACACAAGGGGGTGGGAATATGCTTGGCTTCCATTTGATGTGTCCCACACTTCAGATTTGTATATCGGACTTTTTAACTCCTCCATTGTACTCTTCCCCCCTTCTCACTACTGCACTTAACTAAGTCTTAATAAACAAACACACAAACCGGTAATTCCTCATCCCTCTTTATCCCCAGCCCCTGGCAACCCCCATTCTATTTTCTGTCTCTGAATTTAACTTCTCAAGGTATTTTCTTTTTCTTTCTTTCTTTCTTTTTTTTTTTTAATTGCGACAGAGTCTCACTCTGTTTCCTGGGCTGGAGGGCAGTGGCGCGATCTTGGCTCACTACGACTTCTTGTTCCCGGTTCTAAGTGAATCTCCTGCCTCAGCCTCCCAAGTGGCCGGATCAGGGCTGCCCGCTACTATGCCTGGCTAGTTTTTGTTTTTTTTGGTTTTGTTTTGTTTTGTTTTTGAGACAGAGTCTTGCTCTGTCACCCAGGCTGGAGTGCAATGGCGTAATCTTGGCTCACTGCAACCTCTGCCTCCTGGGTTGAAGTGATTCTCCCTGCCTCGGCCTCCCGAGTAGCTGGGATTACAGACATGAGCCTGTAATAGACATGCCTGGCTAATTTTGTATTTTTAGTAGAGACAGGGCTTGGCCATGTTGGTCAGGCTGGCCTTGAACTCCTGACCTGAGGTGATCCATCTGCCTCGGCCTCCCAAAGTGCTGGGATTACAGGTGTGAGCCACCGCACCCGGTCAATTTTTGTATTTTAGTAGAGACGTGGTTTCGCCATGTTGGCCTGGCTGGTTTCAAACTTCTGACCTCAGGTGATCCACCCGCCTTGGCCTCCCAAGTGCT